GATGCAGTCAGTTTGGATTAGTTGATTTTGACGGGGGTGAGATTGTTTGGACTCTCGTTCGGGTTCCCGACTTGTTGTGGATTGAGTGTGTTGTCGTGAATTAACTTCACGGTGTACTGGACACAACAAGTGGGACATTTGGTTGTTTTGGTGTCGGCTCAGATTTGGGAAAACTTCGCCGAGGTGGAGAATTGTGAACACGTGATGTGGGGGCCACGTTGTGATCAGAAGCGGAAGCAAAACTACGTTTTCGTGAAGAGATGTTCTTGGGGGTCCACCCGCATTTGTGAACGGATTCGGAGACGCGTTATTTGTGAACGCGGTTTCGTGGATGCGGATTCAGAGATGAATCCTATAAATAGGATTTATTTTTTTAGGGTTTTTGGTGCAAACAGAGGGGGTTCGTGCAAGAGCCGGCAGAGTTCTTTTTGGGCGACGTACTGTGCAGGAATTGAAGAAGAAAAAGTTACAGATTACGACGGCTGGTTTTGAGAGAAAAACAGAAAGATTTTGAAGGAGAGATTTGAGAGTTTTGATTTGAGAGATTAATTTGTGAGTTTTTTGAGTGATTTTGTAATCTCTATTTGTACTCTCTCTCTAATAGTAGATCTCCCCCCTCCTTGCCCCGTGGACGTAGGCAACTTGTCAAACCACGTTAAAATTGATTGTGCCTTGAATTATAATAGTTTATTAGGTTCCCTCGACAGGTCAGTCTAGAACTGATGAGAGGAAAAGCTGATATCTCACTTTGTTGAGATATTCGCTTCAGATTCTTGTTTCCTTGGTGAGACGAGAATTCTTATTGCGATCTTTCTCTTATTGTGCACCAGAAACTCTGTCAAAAAATTTCGCTGCGGACAACACATCCCACCTCGGGAAAATAAAATATCTTGCTTCTCTATGCCCCTCGGTCATGTTTAATCATCTTTTTTTTTGTTAATGTATTTAATCCTTAAACCCCAAACTAAATACCCAAACCCACGTACTTCATCTTCTCCATTGGTAAAAGAACTCCCTAGGGTCTACGGGATTTTTGAACACGTGGAATCCATTCGTAATCCAATTCAAATTCCATTGTCTAAGAATTATTAGAATATCAATTCTGGACATTTTAGTTCCAAATTCGCAATTTTCGTAATTTTTTTAAGGGGGTTGGTTTATTATAATATTTAGATTTCTAAGTATCGTTCTTGCAAATTTCAGATTTAGGGGGTATTTTGCAATTGAAGATTTTAACAGTTTTTCCAATGAATTTTGGATTTTAAGGGGTTGTTTTCATAATTTTTCCAATTTTTAAAGTTTTGTTTTTTGATTTTTTTTTTTTTTTGACAAGGGAACTTTGGTCAGTACCTCCACTTAAACTCCCTTTGGAGTCCGCCGCACCCCGGTTCGAATCCCCCCAGTCCCCAACAATCCGCAAGGAGCTACCCCTTAAGTACCAGAGGACTCATCCCCAGCACATGGGCGAGCGGTGTGTGGACTGGGCGAGATGCGAACTAGAGACAGCGGGTCGAGCCGCTACTGACCAAGTAAACCCCGGGTCCCCCCCACCCCCTAAAGCCAGAGGGACCAGGTGAATGTGGCAACAATGATTCGATCTCCTGACCAACGGACACGAAGCCTGGGAGAATCTCTCTCCCCATGGGGAGCTGACTAGGAGACCCATCTTGCAGGGGTTGTTTTTAAAGTTTTGTTTTTCAAAAATTTTAAAGAATTGTTTGTAGATTTTGAATTTTAGAGTACTTACTCGCTTTAGGAGAGCTTTATTTTGGCTCCTTTCCCTGATAAAAAAAACAGGGTGAAGGTCAGTATTCTTAGGGCCTGTTTGGTTCGCTTAAAACCCCCCTGGAAATCCATTTCTAAGCCTGACACCACCTCCACCTCAGCTTTTTTGTTTCCGTCAATTTCTTTTCCTCGCTTTGGTTCGTTAGGGTTGAAAGGGGGAAACGATGGTGAAAACACCGCCACATCAGCCTTTTTTCCTCTCCGCGATTTCCTTCCTCACCGAAGAGAAATCGATGAAAACACTGCCAGCTCTGACAATCGCTCTCTCCTTTTTCTGGTTGATTTTTTTTTTGGGATGCTAGGGTTACCTCTCCTCCCCGCCAGAAATCCCCCGCGGCCTTTTTTCGTCGGCTTTTTCGTCGGCTAGGGTTTTTCGCCGTCTTCGTCTTTCGCCTTCATCGTCGGCTTCTTTGTCGCTGTTAATTGCTCGGTGAGTTCCTAAACTCTACACATTTTCTTTAAATTTATGATTTTGTGGTTAGGGTGATGATGAATTGTGTTGGATTAGAGGAGGAAGAAGAGGTTATTGTGATCATTTGTGGTTAGGGTGATGATGAACTGACTTGGCTTGACTAAGGAGACATTTATTGTGATCATTTTCAGTTTGATGTTGAGATATGAAATTCGTCGGATTTTGACTGAGAAGGGGTTATTATGATCATTTTTGGTGTTTATTGAGGTATTGTTGGTTGGTGTTTCTAGCAACCTACAATGTTAAGTTCTGAGATTCATAATATGGGTGTGTGTGGTATTTTGTGATTTCGTCGAATTTTCGTCGGATTTGGGGAAATCACTGCCTTTCTGAGATTATTTGTATTTATTGTCATTTCAAGTCATAAAAGGCCTATGAAAAATATTTGGCAGTGGCTACCAACATTATGTGATGATTGTAGAATACTAATTTTACATTGAACTTGTGTTTGCAGGAACTTTATTAGTCACCATATACATGACAACTAAAAAAACTGTATGTAAGCAACCTACAATGTATCTACATTGTATTGGATGGCTACTACTGTGGGTTATTAATGAAAATATTGTTATGTCATGAGTTTTAGTTGGTGACTTTTTTACTTTTAGGCTATTATGATTGTCAAAATTTTTGAGATTAGCAACCTGCAATTGATATTGCACTGGATGGCTAACAATGATGATATTGACGAAGTTCTGAGCCCTAAGACGTAATTTGCATATACTCGCGCTTGAATTATACATTTACTTTATACATTTACCCGAACACAAACATTTCCTTGGTGAGACTGTTTCTTTCCCTCATGTTATATACCTGAACACAAACATTTCCATGGTGAGACACATTATGCAAACCAAGCCCTCTATGCATACACCCCAAATGCTATTTTAGTACTTGTGGAGGCATGGTTGTTACATGTATTCAGTTACTATGTGGAAGCCTGGCTATTTTTTGTATTCAGTTACTATGTGCAAACATTTACATGTATTCAGTTACCTGAACACAAACATTTACATGTATTCAGTTACTATTTTTTGTATTCAGTTACCTGAACACAAACATTTACATGTATTCAGTTACTATTTTTTGTATTCAGTTACTATTTTTTGTATTCAGTTACTATTTTTTGTATTCAGTTACTATTTTTTGTATTCAGTTACTATTTTTTGTATTCAGTTACTATTTTTTGTATTCAGTTACCTGAACACAAACATTTACATGTATTCAGTTACTATGTGCAAACCAAGCTCTCATGGCTATTTTTTGTTACTATGATGATTTGAGCTTGTTTAGCTCTATGTTGTTAGGTTTTTGGTTGCTATTTGTGCTCCTCGCCGAGCTCCCGTGGCTGTTTTTTGTTACTATGCTGATTCGAGCTTGTTTAGCTCTATGTTGTTGGGGTTTTGGTTGCTATTTGTGCAGAGTTTTGTGTTCAGGATTTGTGCACATATTTTCAGTTTTTGTGCACTGTTTGTGTTCAGCCCCTTGGTATTTTCTTTGTGTTTAGGTTTGTGAGAAGTTTTGTGCTCAGATTTAGTGAGACTGTCTTGTGTTCATGCAGTTGTGTGCTCAGTTTTGTGAGACTATCTAGTGTTCAGGCAGTGTTTGTGAGATTGTTTTGTGTTCAGGTTTGTGTTCAGGTGAAGTTTTATGTTCAGTTTTGATGACGTTCAGTGTTTGTGAGTTTTGTAAATAGTTTTGTTGCTTTTCAATTTTTTTTTTGTTTAGGCTATGATGATTATCAAAATTTCTAAGATTAGCAACCTGCAATATCTATTGATATTGCACTGGACGGCTAACAATGAAGATATTGACCAAATTCTGAGCCCTCAGCCATTACGTACATGTTTGGTATTTCCAAGTTTGATGCAATTTGCTATGTTATATACATATTCATGGCTAATCAGGTTGTTTATATATTTTTTATAGGTTTCATAAGAATTTTTGGCTAATTCAGGTACGTATTTCATAAAATTATGAATAATCAGGGTATTACATGTCTCGTTTATTTTTTTTCCTGAAAAACAGGTTTCGTGTGATTTTTTCATCTCAATAAGGTATATTTCAGGTTAAATCAGGTACGCAGTTCATGTTACAGTAGGTTTCATATGATTTCAGGTTTCGTATGATTTCATTAATACAAACAGAAATTTATAATTCATTCGGGATATTATTATTTGTTCATGATACATTCGCACTTTTATATGATTAAGATTACATCCCATAACTAGCACAAATAATTTTTGTCTATAGTGGGGGTAATCTTACCTTGGTGACTCTAAACACCTTTTCCCTACACACTTCAAAACCAACCAAACACAAGAAAAGTGGGAAATGTCAAATCAACAAAAGTTTTCCCTTTTTTTCTCATGCAAACCAAACACAAGAAAAGTAAAAACATTGGTTTCCCACCATTTTTTTGTGTGAACCAAACCAAAACAATCTATTTCTTGGAAAAGTTTGGAAAACTAAAAACTTGTGTTTCTTTCCATGGAATTGTATTTCCCTATATCTAGGAAACGAACCAAACAGCCCCTTAACTCCAATTGTTGCGATTATTTGATGAGTCGTTTGTTGGTATTCGTGATTTCCAACTATGTTACCATTACGTTTACATAATTAATAATAGAACCAAAAACGGTGATCTCTTCATATATATATTTTAGTAAGAAGGGGATTCAAATCCTGCTCGTTATATATGTTATTACTATGTATCTATAGTACTATAGTGGATGCGACCAGCTGAAAATTCATAGAGCGTCTCTCAAACACATTGGTATCATATTACATCCGCATCTCAGATGCAAATAAAAAGGAGATGACAAACATTTTAAACATTCAAATGATCTAATAATTCACCTCTTAACCAAAAATTTTCAAATCTTGAGCCTCTTGAACGCTGTAAACCCGCCATCCACCACAAAATTATGGCCACTCACAAACTTGGCCGTCTCGGAGCGTCTCAAAACAACGCCGCGGCCGCCCACATCCTCGCGCCTCGGCACTTCGCCCTTGAGCTCCCCGCACCCCTCCAAAACCTCTACTGCCTCCTCCTCCCCCAACTCCGGCGCCAATTTCCTCATCGCATCGACCCCCATTGGCGTCGCAATGGCATGGGGCGATATGCAGTTAATCCTGATCCCGTGCCTCCCCATCTCCGCCGCCGCGGACCTCACTGCCCCGATCACCGCCGCCTTGGATATCGAGTAATCATGCGGCGCCATTCCGCCCATGACTCCCGTCAGGCTCGCGGTGCAGAGAATGCAGCCCGATTGTTGCGGGATCATGACGCGCGCGGCGTGCTTGATACCAGCGATGACGGAGCGGAGGTTGACAGCCATCGTGCGGTCAAAGTCGGAGAGGTCGAGGGCGGTGAAGGAGGGTGCAAGGGAGCCAGGTCGCGAAAGCCGCGTTGTTGTGCAGGACGATCGAGGCAGTGCCGGCCGTGGAGGGAGAACGCACAGAGGATCAACGGCCGAGGAGATGTAGGAGATCTTGGGTGACATCGCAGGGGACGAAGGTGGCGTTGGGGTGGTGCCGGGAGAGATCGAGGGTGGCGGCGAGGCGGGCAACCGAGGTCGAGGTTTATGGTCGCAAGATGACTTCTGAGCTGCCGTGCCGGCGATGAATGAGGTGGCGGTGGTACTTAGCCGATGCCGCTGGCGGCGGCCGGTTATTAGTGCAGATTTGGCCGGCTAACCTGTGAAAAGTAGTCGTTCTAATTGACACATTCGAAGTATAGAAAACCACACAGGTATATGGTAAGAAAAATGCCTCACGCATCCGAAAATGAGACAGATAGAGGGGGAAAGGTGAGGTGTCCCTCTGATTGCATAATGAGCTAGCCATGACCAACTCATTATACAATTAAGGGGGGCACCTCACATGTCCCCCTTATCTGTTCTATTTTCAGGTCCCTGTAGAAGCATCCATATGGTAATTATCGACTTAAAATCGGTGTAGTTAGTAAATATTAATGTAAATATTTAAGGAATATGATAATTGTACTACAAGTTTTGTGCTACTCTTATACTACCACTAACAAATATGTGAGGTTCTTTATAAAAAAAAATATAAAGAAAAATTATAAGTCATTATGAATCCTTTTTTTAGAGTGCAAATTAGTGTAAGTTTTGTAGTACATTTATTAATATTTAGTATTTAAATCACCTTCACTTGATCAAATAAATAAATAAACCATTTTCATTATTCACAAGCGTTATGCTCACCTGGGTTGCCATAATTTATTTATTTATTTATTTGTACATCTAATTTGTTTGTTCTCCACGAACTTCTTTTTGGGTTATAATTTTGCTTCTAAAAATTGAAATTATTTTCATTAAAAAATTTAGATTGTATTGAACTTTTTTTTTTGTATTGTTGCTCCTTCAAAAGTAAACGACTTGAGTCAAAAACTTTTTTTCCTCTTATAATAGATATACAAAATAAGAATATGGAATTTTTTTAGTTTTCTTACTTAAGCCCCAATAGCTTTTGGTAGAAAACATTAATAATGGTTGTCTAGTATTTTTAGGGTTCTATGTAATTTTTAGATTTTTTAGGAGGTTGTTTTTATTTTGGATTTTAAAAAGGGTTGTTTGTTTTTTGGAGGAATTATTTCTATGTTCAAAAAATTTTGGCAGTTCTTTATTTTTATTTTTAAAATTTTAGGCTCTTCTCGCAATTTAAAGATTTTTTAGAGGCCATTTTCTAGTTTTAGATTTTTTTGAGGGGTTTATTTGTCATTTTATATTTTTAAGATATTTCTTTGTAGTTTTTGGAGTTTTAAGGCAGTTGCCTATAATTTTTTGAATTTAAAGGGGATGATTTGTAATTGCTAGATTTTATAGAGAAATCCTCTATAACTTTCAGAATTTAAAGGCATTTTTGTGATTTTCAGATTTGTCAAGGAGTTGTTTGTAGTTTCATATTTATCAAAGAGCTATTTATATTTTTCATACTTTTAGTAGTTTGTAATCTTATGGGTTAATATGCAAACATGTATGATTTGAGAGATATATATTGGCATTGAGGAATAATGTTAGTTAGTGTAAAATTACGATGTAATGGCCTTATGGGGTAAAGTGCAAAAAATATAAATATTTTGGTGATTTTTTGAAATTTTAAACTTTATTGGGGTTTCAGAAAATTTGTAGGCTTATTGAAGGTTTAGTGAAATTTATCTAGGAGATCCGTGTGATAAGTGTTTAAAATGTAAGGCTAATAGTAAATCGTTAAGCCCTCCTTTACATATAAAAGAAAGAGAATTAAAATGGAATTATCAGATTTTATTTATTATGGATAATTAAAGAGAATTAAAAATATGATTGTCGATGTTAAATATCACACAGCTAAATAAAATCACGGAGTTTGCAAGGGACCGCTTTCTTCTTTGACTTTATGTCTGGTTCTGTAGTTAAGATGATTGGGCAATCTGCACACAAAGAGTCGTAAAAGGGCGGGGATTAATTCCCTCATGGTGCCTCCGATGATCAAGTCAGTTGATGAACTTGGGCTTGAGTGGAGTAACAGAACTGGGTGTTTTGTGTAGTGTGTGCTCTTTAGAGTTTTAGATTACGAACCTGCGGCTATAGCGAATAGCATCTGCATATATAGAGGATACCAAGGGCAGATTGGTCACTTTGGCTATGCAAATGGCGGTGACAAAGTGTGAACTGGAAGGTGAGTCATCCTTTACCCTACACGTATCGGCTGACGACAAGAGAAAGATCACTTTGACCTCGATTTTAGGAGCGATCGATGGGACGTGAGTGTAGGCTTCTAAAAATGCCCAAAGGTTCCCGCACGCAACTCGAGATGAAGAAAAGATGATGAACGTCATCATCCGAGTCAAGAAGGATTATCCGAGTGGCCCGCACGCTTGTCGGTTAGCTTCAAGTGCCCGCTGCGCTTATCGGTCAGCTCCAAGTGCCCGTTACGCTTCCTCGGTTAGCTCCAAGTACCATAAAGAAGCTAATGAGCGCATGAAGCAAGTTAACGAAGCGTACAAGTGTAGGGTGAATATTTGATTTCCCGAAAACAGGGAGTGTTTGTTTGTATTAATAAGAAGGCTTATTACAGAGAACAAACTAACAATCAAATGTTTACAACAGAAGCAGAGGAGCGCCTCCTTGTGTTTACGTGTGGGGATTCTAGTGGCTAATAGGACGGCTTACGCTCCGAGTGCTCAGTGAGTCGAGTCTGCTTCCGCTTGGACGCCCGTATCGACCTCACGAGGGTTGCTGGAGGAGCCTTTCAGTACGCAGTAGAAGCCTCGGGGCAGATAGAGTTCTGATTCTGCTTAGTTCGCGCCGGCGCATACGGAGCTCGGGGAGCTAAACAGTGATGCCTGTGCAATGCAAAGGTATCGCAGAGAGCTTGGTGCCTCAACTGCTTTTCTCTAAGTTTCTACGACCTCTCCTCCGTGTGCTGGAAGGGGCTTTTAAATGGAAGAAGGGACAGCTTGACTCCTCCCTTGACACTTCGTGGGATTGCCCCATCTTCTTCAGAGAGTCTAAGCTCTCTCGATACCCCATGAATGGGTCATTCAGGGAATTGTGCTTCAGTCCTAATCACCCTACGATGGGCAAGGCCCATTCTTGTATCACTCCGAGGCAACGAACGACTGCTATCACTGAGTGATTTTGACCACATTAATGAACCGCATTTATGGAGTTCGGCAGTCGATGAAGTGTCTGTCCGATCCACTCGTACTGTTGCGTGAACCGCTGCCAGCCGTGCTTTGAGCAACGGTGCTTTCTTCCCTTTCCGGTCAGCGAGAGGCGGTGAGTAAGTGCACCGTACTCAAGTGGGTCTAAGCCAGCTTGCCCGAGTGCCGCGATCCTAGCTCTTGGCTCAGACAGCCCTGAGTGAGTCGCATTTATGAATGCTCAGGTGATCGACACCTTCTCCAGCGCTTTTCGTGCTGGCCGTACTGCGACGTCACGTTTGCACGGTCCTGGGCTATCGTGCTCTCTCCCTTCGGCTTGGAGGGATAGGGAAAGTCCAACTCAGCACGTGGGGTAGCTGCAACCCAGCTGTACTGAGCTTGGGGTTTGCTGCGATTCGAGCCTCCTGACTCGGGCAGTGCGAGTTGAGTGAAAGGCGAACTTTCCGCCATCTCTGATCGATCCTTGACTCGTGCGCTGCGAGCCGACCGTAAGGCGAACCTAAACGAGCATATACTGACGTCCTATTCGATTAGGCCGGTGCCCAAGACCGATGCGTGCCGAGAATCTGTCTCCGCAGCCCGAATTTCCTGTAAGCTATAGAGGTAATTCTTTTACCGTCTACAAGCACCCCACTCAAAGTTTTCAGACACTAAACCCCGGCTCAGATAGGTCATGGAATACTTTGAATGTAAGAAATTTTCGGCGAAGTACACGCTACTTGATTTCTTTTAGGATTTTAAGCAAATCCTCAAGCTATCAAACGGTTTGATGTGCCTTTACGATCACCGTTTTTGAAAATCGGGAGCTATGCCATACTATTTCCCTCATGTATGATGAGTTGATCGAACAGTTCTCTTAGGCTTAAATGGCTACAGATTTCTGATTCAGACCCCTTACCTTCTGAGGCTGGGTTTTACACCGTTTAAGCCGAGGTCATTCTACTTGGATTCTTTATAATTTTACTACCTTTAGTGGCTGAGCCGATCTCCAGGCAAATTAGTCTTTGGAGCCAAGTTCCCGCACTCGCGGGTCGCATGCCAGTGTTTGCAGGCCAAACCCTTTCCTTTTTGAGGCGGCCCAGTATTCTACGGGAGATGAAGAGCAGGTGTCTACTGATACGGCCTTTGCGCTTTCCACGCTACAGGCGCGCGGTCTCATCCGGGTCGTTGGCGATCGTGACTCGAGCAAACGATCTTTTGGTGTTTCGCCCCCGCGCACGCATCGCATGGCCCCGTGTTTTCGAACTCACCGTCGGAGCACCGCCCAACCCTCCGGTCCTTCGATATATCGACGGGTGATCTTGAGCGTCGAATTTGATCGTGGCCACGTCTCCTGTCGTTAGGGGTTTTCGCCTTTCGAGGCAATCGTTGGCCACGTGATAACTCCGCCCTTCTAAAATCTAGCCATTTTCATCCACATTCGGGGAGTTACTGTGCCTCAAAACTTGAAGGAACTCCAGCGAAAGAATCCCCTTTTCATCCCTAGCAATCTGAAATCTAAAAGGTGCA